CAACTCCATCTTGGATGCTAATCCACCATGTTGACTTCTGATTAACTCCTATTCTGGGAAGACCGCTATCATTTCCAGTTTATCTATTGTTCCTGTATAATAGCACACACTTACTGTAAATCTTGCCCTTGAGTCAAAACAACCTTGATGTTGAAATGGGAAAGGTTTCCTTGTCCCCCTCACAGTGTGTGCGATGGGGGGCGTGGCTCGCTTCTTCAGTGTCCCCCTGCTCAAACCTCTAGGAGAGCATACAGACGGGCAGGCTGCAGAGTTGTAGGGTTCCGACCCCACAGCAGTGTCTAGGGGTGAATGTTTACAGCCGGAGCCCCAGTAGGCATGTGTTACAGGGTGCTCTTTTAGTTTGCTATCTATAAGAGGCTTGCATTAACCAGCTCAATTAGACCCTCTGCCTTGTTGCAAGGACAGAGGGCTCTCTGTATCCCGGGTTCTTGCCTTGGTGCGCTGGAATAATAGGATCACACGTGGACTTGGGAAATGAGTGCAAAGTTTTATTGAGTGGAAGTAGCCATCTGCCGATGGGGAGCAAGAAAAGAGATGGTTTTCCCTTGGAGTTGGACCACTGGGCGGCCCAGCTCGCCTAAGACTGTGCCAGCCAAACTCCGCCTTGTCCCATTGGTCGATGGCCTGCTGGCATGCCAGCCCTCCTCCAGCTGCTTGTGTCTTCTTCCACCAATTTGCTCCTCTCCACGTCCAGCAGCTTGGGTGTGTGCCTGGTAGAATCTCGGGTTTTTCTAGGCACAGGATGAGGGCATGGTGGGCCAGGGTGGTCTTGGGAAATGCAACATTTGGGCTCCAAGGCAGGAGTGCCGGTCCTCAGCTTGGTCCATGGGGGTGGAGCCCCAGCCAGGGACCATGACCTACTCTACCCAGCACTTCCCTTCCTCCCTTCCCCACTCCATCATTTAAAGGGACCAAGCTCTTACCTTCCCAGCACTTCTATATCAATGTTATCATACTTCGATTGTCTCACACATCCTTCTGAGTCACCCTTTTCCCTACAGTATATAAGTCCTTGGTCTTGCAAGTAACAGTGTGAGATACTATCTTGTCTCCCTACTGCCCAAGACATAGGCATGGCTTCTTTTCATAAGTCTCTATTAAATGTTTCTTTCTGAGAAACTGGATATATCAGCCTCTTTCTTTGGCCTCTTAGCTTCCTCTGACTTTGGGGGTAGGTTTGCATAGACTGTTCACCTCAGAACAACCTGTTCACTGAAAACTACTAGGTATTTCTGAGAGACCACAAAAACATAAACAGTGAGACATAAAATGTTTATGGATCAAAAGACTAAATATTGTTAAGATATAAATTATTTGAAAATTGCTACATAGATAAAACACAATCTCAGTCAAAACTCCAGCAGAATTTAAAAACCGTATATAGCATATTTTAGAAATTGGCTGGCTGATTTGGAATTTTGGCCATTAATGGGATTTTTTGGTTTGTTTTTTATTTTTGTTTCTCTCTCTCTCTCTCTCTCTCTCTCTCTCTCTCTCTCTCTCTTTGAGACACAGTCTCATTCTGTTGTCCAGACTGGAGTGCAGTGGCTTGATCACAGCTCACCAGTCTCAACCTCCTGAGCACAAGCAATCTTCCCATGTCAGCCTCCCTAGTAGCTGGGACTACAGGCTGTGCCAGCATGCCCAGCTAATTTTATATATATATTTTTCAGAGATGGGGTCTGTTGCCCAGGCTGGTCTCAAACTCCTTGGCCTCCCAAAGTGCTGGAATTAAAGGTGTGAGCCTCCACACCTGGCCTATTTTTGTTTTTTAAATTCAAATATGTTTACCATTTCTTATATGGCTTCAGACTTTTCATCTATAGTTTATAAAGTCTCTCCCCTCCTAAATTGTAAATATGGTATTTTATTTTCTTGAAATATCTACAAAAAAATAGTTCAATCATATTCTATCTACAATTTATATTTGAATATGGTAAATAACTGGTTTAAATTTATTTTCTTCCAGATGGCCAAACAGTTGTGCCACACCATTTAAAAAATAATCCATCCTCTCTCCAGTTAAACTATCATCTTTTTAATGTATTATTATTATCGTTATTTTGAGATGGAGTCTCACTCCATCACCCAGGCTGGAGTGCAGTGGCACGATCTCAGCTCACTGCAACCTCTACCTCCCAGGTTCAAGTGATTCTTCTGCCTCAGCCTCGTAAGTAACTGAGATTACAGGTGCATACCACCACACCTGGATAATTTTTTAATTTTTAGTAGAGACAGGGTTTTGCCATGTTGGCCAGGTTTGTCTTGGACTGCTAACCTCAAGTGATCTGCCCTCCTTGGCCTTTCAAAAGGTTGGGATTACAGGTGTGAGCCACTGTGCCCAGGCTTCTTTATACATTAAATTCATATAGAAAGGGGAGGCATTCTCTGTCTAGGTTATTGACTTCTTTGTGTTTTCCTACTGTAATATAGTATTGATTTGATACAGTATTTGCATCAAATGTTTAAAATCCAATAAGGCAAATCTCACTTCACTGTTCTTTTTTTTCTTTTCTTTTTTTGAGATGGATTCTCGTTCTGTCCCTAGGCTGGAGCACCTCCCGGATTCCAGCCATTCTCCTGCCTCAGCCTCCCATGTAGCCAGGACTTGCCATCACACCTGGCTGATTTTTTGTACTTTTAGTGGAAATGGGGTTTCACCGTGTTCGCCAGGATGGTCTCTGTCTTCTGACCTCATGATTCACCCTCCTCAGCCTCCTAAAGTGCTGGGATTACAGGCGTGAGCCACCACACCTGGCCCTCATTTTTCTTATTTCTCATAATTTTTGGCTATTCTGTAGCATTTAGCCTTTCATGTGAATGTTACAGTTATTTTTATCCTTTTCTAAAATAAACATAACTGAATGACATCTATTAATATATTACTTTTGAAAAGACTGCCATTTTTATTCTGTTAAGTTTTCCCATCCAAACATATAATGTAACTTCCCATTTCTCAGGTCTAATGTTCTTAAATTGCAGCAGTCAATAAAATTTTATTTTTCTTTTCATAGGTTTTTTTTATTTTTCAATTTGTTCTGAAGCACTTTATATACTTTTTCCATTATTATTAATGGAATGTTTTCCTCATTTTTTATTTCTAGGTGCTATTGCCAGAAAATTGAAAAACCTATTGAATTTAGTATATTGCTTTGATATATATCCTCCTTACCAATTTATCTTGTTAACTCTACTAGTATTTTACTGGATCTCTTAGGTTTTCTAGGTATATAATGTCATCAGCAGAAAGAGATCATTTAAACTGTTCTTTTAAAATTTTTGTGCCAGTTATTTCATTTTCTCATCTTATTGTATCCATGAAAACTTCTAAGACATGTTAAATAAAGATAGTGTAACGTGATGTTATACCTAGTTTCTAATTTGAATGTAAATTGCTTACTTGGCCTGCCATTTAAAAAACTATTTGCCACGGTATTTTGCTAAGTGGTCATTGTTATATTTAGGTAATTTCCTTCTATTTTTGTTCACTTAGAATTTTTGTTAGAATGGTAACATAGTTTGAATATGTGTCCCCACCAAATCTCATGCTGAATTATAATCCCCCATGTTGGACGTGGGGCCTGGGGGTAAATATTTGGGTCATGGAAATGGATCCCTCATGGCTTGATGCTGTTCTCAGGGATAGTGAGTTCTTGGGAGATCTGGTTGAGTGTATGGCACCTCCCCACTCACTCCCTCTCTTGCTCCTGTTTTCACCATGTGACGTGCAAGCTCCCGCTTTGCCATCTGCCATTAGTCAAAGCTTCCTGAAGCCTCCCAGAAACAGATGTCTGCACTATGTTTCCTGAACAGTCTGCAGAACTGTGAGCCAATTAAACCTCTTTTCTTATAAATTTCCCATCTCAGGTATTTCTTCATAGCAATGCAAGAATGGCTAGTAATACAGATGGCTAGTAATTTAGTCAAATAAATATTTTGGTATTTGTTGATGTCAACATATGTTTTTCTCTCTTTTAATTGTTATAGTAATAGATTATGTTGGTAGATTTCCTGATGTTCAAACACTATTGCATTCCTGAAACAAATCTTGCTTGTATACCAGACTAGTTTGAGCGCAGGAGTTTGAGACCATTATGGGTAATATAGGGAGATCATGTCTCTACAAAAAAAATTTAAAATTAGCTAGGGGTAGTGGTGTGCACCTGTAGTCTCAACTACTCAGGAGGCTGAGGTGGGAGGATGCCTGAGCCTGGGAGGTCAAGGCTGCAGTAAGTTGTGACCATGTCAGTGCACTCCATCCTGGGTGATAGTGAGACTCTGTCTCCAAAATAATAATTTAGGAAGGCATGGTGGCATGCACCTGTAATCCCAGCTATCTGGGAGGCTGAGGTGGGAGGATCACCTGAGCCCTGACTTATAGATGGCCATCTTCTTACTGTATCCTCACATAGTAGAGAGAGACAGCTCTGATGTCTCTACTTTTTGTAAGTCACCAGCCCTACTGGATTAGGTCTCTGCCCTTATGACCTCATTTAACCTGAGATACCTCCTTCTAGGCCCTGTCTCCAAACATAGTCATGTTAGGAGTTAGGGCTTCAACATATGGATTTTGGAGAAAAGAAAAAGCTCATAGTATTCCACCCCTCACCCCCAATATTCATACTCATATTACATGCAGAATATGTATATTGGAGAATAATCCTCTTCTGTTTGATGCTCCATCCTCCAGACCCACTGAAGGGATGGTCCCAGCTTCTGGACCCATGGGGTAACAGTGTCACCCCCATGGCTCTGTGGGATGGTCATACTTCTTGAGCTCTTCCAGGGCCCTGCCCCTATGGCTTTCTGCCAGGGCCCCTTCCGTGTGGCTCTCTGTAAGTACCCAACTTTCTGAAACCCAACAGGAAACATCCTTCCCTCCTGGCCCTGTGGTGGGAGTGGCAGCCCTGCTGATCACTGAAATCATCTTTGGGTTATTCTTCCCTTTTCTTAAAGAAGAGCAAGTATTGACAGCTGAATAGCTCTATGATCTTGTCCTGTAAAATTCCAAAAATTTGGCAGCCTTTATTTTATTCCATCTCCATGTCCTTCAGTTCAAACTGGCAGTGTTTCTGTTAATAGAATCCTATAAACTCTTTATCAATTGATAATCCAGCCATATCTTTGATGTTCCCTTTAGAACAAAGCTTTGTTTTTTGCAATATGGATGGTTGAGAATTTTTCAAATCTTTAACTTATTGTTCCTTTTATTTAAAAATTCCTTTTTAAATTCATCTTGTTCCTCTTGCATTTTACTATAGTGCTTAGGAGGAAATAAGCTGCTTCTTCAACACTTTACTTAGAAAGCTCCTCAGCTAAAGATTCCAGTTTAATTGCTGGCAAGTTTTTCTTTCACAGAACACTACTAGAACATAGTTTGGGCCAGTTCTTTGCCACTTTAAAACAAGAATTACCTTTCCCCAGTTTCCAATAACATGTTCCTCATTTTCATCTGCAATGTCACCAGAATGGCTTTTAACACCATATTTCTGCCAATATTCTGCTCATGATTATTTACATATTCTCTGAGAAGATGGAGGCCTTTTCTCCAGCTCTCCTTTCTTATTCTCTGGAAGAGAATCTCCTTTGATGCTCATATTTCTATTGTGAAGCAGGTTTACTAATAACCAGTTCAAAGGGGGACTACTAGTGCAGAAAGGACAACAAAGATCATTACGATGGCAGCCACTAGGAATAGGATTCTAAACAATTCCACCCACTGCAACCCAGGCTGCAGTGTTACCAATTGCTTGAGGCCAGTGAGACAGAACATACTAACATGCAACAAGTTACATGAAGCAGATTTACTACTTACAGATTGGCAGAGGAAGACAAGCCTAGAATCCGTTGTGTTAGGATTGCCAGCATAGTTGACCACTGGGAGGACAAGGGAGTCACTCTGGTCAGTGACAGAGTAAGATCCAGGATGGCAAATCCAATACTACATCGTAGTGTTCACAGCTTGGGAAAATCTCACAAAGGTCTCATGCTTCCAGGACTCTGCTTCCATGATCCTATAGAAAGAACAAGTTGACAGGTTAGTTCCCCTCTCTCCTTCTCTCAACCTCAGATGTTCTCTGCCTATCAGACAGGGGTTGCACTTAGTTGGTGTAATGACTCAGTCTGTCTGTCCCTGTCCTGAGCCTACTACCTCTGCAGGCACCCATTGATTGCCCTTGTTGTTTGACCCAGATCTTTTGGCCTCAGCCATCTAGTCAAGGAAAGGAAGTCACATTCTGTATAAACTTGACATTCTGATGTCTTCCACCCTTGTGGGCTCCCACAGAAGAGAGAATCCCAGGGAAAGCTTGTACTTCCAGATTAGAATTAGGGAACCCTGTCTGAAATACTATTGTGTAAACCATTAACCACCCCAAGATGTGCACTCTAAAGCGGAAAAAGGAAAATGAATGATCAGGAACACTAAGATTGGAATTTCATAGGAGCAGCCTAATTGGGCAGCTACCTGGTTCACCTCCACCCCAACCAAACTCCATGTTTGCCAACATATGCTGCATTGCTGTATTATTTCTCTTGTGATAGAGTGCAGAGTTTAGTGTCCATACTACCCTAGTCAAATGGAAGTACCAACCCACTATAAGACCTCCTTAATGCTCTTTCTTCAGTTGCTTTGTGAGTCAGCTGTATCCCTGTTTAATAGCTCCATTCATCTGCAGATGATGGGGTGCATGTAAAGTCCATCATATCCCACTAGAGTATATTCATTGTCATGTTGCTGGGGGAGTGAAGGATGTTCTTTGATCAGAAAGAAATCCCACAGGGTATCCAAAAACATGGCATAGATTCTTTGCAAGGGCAGCTATGGTAGTCCCAGTATCTACTCAAGTGACATACCTGACTAATTATGTTTTGAATTATGATTTTTCAACTTTACAATGGTGCAAAAGAATACACATTCAGTAGAAACTATACTTTGAGAATTCATACAACCATTTTGTTTTTCACTTTCAGTACAGTACTCAATAAATTTCACAAAATATTCAACATCTTATTAGAAAATAGGCTTTATGTTAGATGATTTTACCCACTGCAGGCTAATGTAAGTGCTCTGGGCACATTTAAGGTAGGCCAGACTAAGCTATAATATTCTATATGTTAGGTGTGTTAAATACATTTTCAACTTAAGATCTTTTCAACTTACAATGGGTTTATTGGGCCATAACCCCATTGTAAGTGGAGGAGAATCTGTATACTTATCCCTTCCAGGTAGAAGGCTGTTGCCATAGTTCTTGTCCCCATACAGTGGGTTCTTTAACAGTCCAGTCATTCAATTGCCATTCTGCTGACCAGATGGCTAGGCTGTTAGCAACAGCCCATGAATAAGTGAAAATATAGCAAGATATGATTGTAGGGGTGGCTTGCATGGCCATAACCACTGCACCTAGTTCAGATCATTGGCAGAATGTTCATGTTTAACCTCAGTCAAAAGATGGCCATACATTGGTGAGATGGTAGCCCCAGCCCAGTGGACCCCAGCTTGTTGTTTTGTAGAGTCATCAGTAAACCATGTCATACTGTTAGTAGGCACTCCCTGAATCTTGTGCTTCAAGTGGCCACAGGAAGAGTCAAAGCATACCCTCAACATTCCTTAGTCTTCTCTGGTAAGCTAGCCATTTGTTCACAGAGCCTACTGGTCCCTTGGTGTTCCAGTTGGGCTCAATCTTGACTGTGCCATTTACATTTGATAACTGAGCTTTGTTGAGCCTATCCAATTTTATTTTGGGGATTTATAAGCACCCTAGTAAGAATGGGAAGTTCAGGTTGCATTGTCACATGTGGCACCCTTGCCATAAGTTGTTCAGTCTCCACCAGTGTCCAATAACAAGCAAGACATTGCCTTTCAAAAGATGCATATCTGGTGGCTGTCTCAGGTAACTTACATGTTCAAATCTCAGAGTCCTCAGTGGCAGTTTTATGTTGCTACAGACTCTAATCAGCATGCATGGAGGTTGTAAACCTTTGTAATTTCATTAGGTTGGCATGCTCTAAAATTTTTCGAGGTAGTGCCTGAGCCATGGCTTCTTAAATGACTTCCAGGGTCTTCTGCTCCAAAGGGCCCCATTCAAAGTTAAGTTTGCTAGTCACTTTGACTAAGGGAACCCAAAGAACACCCAAGTAGGGTACATTCTGTATCTAGTGGCCAAAGAGGCCTACCAGTCATTGAGCCTCCTTTTTATGAGTGGGTACTGCCAAGGTTAAACTTTTTTGCCTGACTGTATCTGGGATACTCTTTTTTTTTTTTTTTTTTGTCTTCCTGCCCAAGTAGCCTTGGTATTCAGCACATGACAGTCCATTGTTAATCTTCACACCTGGAAGGTTTTTTTGACCAGCCAAACTGGTTTTTTTGACCAGCAATCCTGTTACATTGTAACAGGATGGGTTGTAACATTTTTGTCCATACTAAATTTTGAATTAACTCAGTAATATCCTGTTCTCCTTTTAGCATACAATACTGCTTTTGTTGAATAACCCACTGGAGCTTAAGTCACTTGAGTGGCAGGTAGGAGTGGATATGCCCCACTGCTAAGGCTTGAATTCTTAGCTGTCAGGAGGTGGTGGTGATGCTCTGTGTCACAAGCAGCCAAAATGTCAATGCCCATAATATACTCAAGTGGTTGTAACCACGGTCGCTAGCACCTGAAATGGCCCAAAGTGCCCCGGCTATAAGGAGATAAACTCTACCAGCAGATAAGCAACATGGATTACCACATTCTCCCCAAACTTTCTGATATAATGTTTATTTTTTCCCCTTTTATCTTGACAGACGTATAGGGCCATTAGCCTCCAATAGGAACCTGGAGACCTGGGTCTCATCCCTACTTGTGCCATTTTATTTTTCAGGAGAGCAAAACATTCTGTCCTCCTTGATCAACTATCTAAGATAGTCAAGATAATATATCCTTTCTTGGTTTTTGCCCGTATCTGTCCCTGAGATCATAAGTTTCCCTTCCTGTGAAGGCCCACGTTGCACTTGTTGATTCCATCTTAAATTACTCAGGGACCATCTGAGGTCTTGTTCCCTGTGCCTCAGGGTCTATCTGAGTACCCAGTTCCTTAGCTGTCCAGGTCCAGGAATGAGTGATTACATAAATGCCCAACAACCAGGGAACTGAGCACATGCTCCCCTGTTTCCACATTTCTTCCTGTTGCTTCAGTCCATGTAGCCAGCTCCCTCACATCTGTGAGGCAAGGTGCAGGGGTTATGTAACCTATATTCCATGTGTCATTCTTCCTTCCCCATAAATCAATCAGTTGCATGTTTAAACCCTATATCCCTAGGCTGACATCTCCATCTGGGGCTGAGTACTAGAGCATATCACTCCTGCTTCTCCAATAAAGACATGGTCTGTCAGACTGGACTCTGCTCACTGAACCAATTTTGTCAAGCAGTCTTACTAATAACCCATCTCAAGGGAGGACTCCCACTATGGGGAGGACAGAAAAGATCCTCCCTTATGTCAACCACCAGGAATAGGAATCTGAATACTTCTACTCACTGCATACTGGGCTGCAGGATTGCCCGAGTCCATGAGACAAAATATACTAACATGCAATAGGTTACATGAAACAGATTTTTAACTTACAGATTGGCAGCAAGGGGCAAAAGTAGCCTAGGATCCATCATGAGCTTGTTCCCCAAGACTCAAAAAAATCTGCCCGGGAGGGATCGAGCCTCAATGACCTGTGCCCCACTTGCACCACAGCTGAGGGACACAGAAAGGTAGCCAACTCTGGATCATATACTTTCAGAGAAAAATAAATCATTGGGCAAAGCTTTAAAGTATACCCTGATTACAGAGGAGAAGGGAACAAAGCTCAAGCTGTCCTGGTCAGTCTCTCCCTAATTCAAGATGTTACATTTCCTAAGAGGGATAGAAACAAGGCCTCGGCTGTTTGGGGAAGGCCCTCCCTATCTTAGCATATTGCATTCCCACCACATTCTACCATTATTCTGAAAACGACGGGTAAGAAGAAGAGAGGGGAGAAACTGGGTTGCCACGGCTATCTAGGAACCACTGAGCATCTACCAACAGTCTCTTCTCGGCAATCCAGGCCTTTTCTCTCATGGATCTCAAAGTTTCTCCAGCTTCTATCCATTACCCACTTTCAAAGCCACTTCCACATTTTTAGATATTTGTACATCAACACCCCACTTCTGCAACCAAAATCTGTCTTAGTCTTCTTGGGCTATCATAACAAAACACTGCAGACTGGGTGGCTTGAACAACTAAAAATTATTTCTCAGAGTTCTGGAGACTGGAAAGTCCTAGAGCAAAGTGCCAGTTGGTTCAATTCCTGGTGAGAACTCTCTTGCAGATGACTGTCTTCTCACTGTGTCCTCACAGAAAGCAAGAGAGAAAGAGAGCTCTGGTGACTCTTCCTTTTCTTATAAGGCATCAACCCTATTAGATTAGGTCCCTACTCTTAATTACCTCCCTATAGGCCCTATCTCCAAATATTGGGGGTTAGGGTTTCAATATATGAATTTCTGAGGGACAGAATTTTGTCCATAGCACTATCTCTTTTATAAAGATGGCAATTTTATACAGAGTACCAATTTTTGGTAACATATTTTACTAAAAAATTATTCATTTGCTTAAGGCTTTCAAATTTGTTGCTGTAAAATTGCTGGTAGTAAGACTTCAAAAGGTTCATGGAAAATGCATATTATGAAAAAATCTAAGCACAAATTTCAAATTTTGTTTGCACCAAAGCAAACAAATTGTACTAACTTGTTATAACATGTCTGAACAGGTTCTAATTTGGGGCACTAAGAAAGATACGACATGAGGTTAAAAAGAGCCCCAATCAAAGCAACATGAATTCTGCAAAAATTGAAGCAAGAACAGACAGCAAATTTATGGGAAAGCTTGAGTGGAAGAATGGTGAAATCATTGATGCTTTCTAAAAAGTAAATGAAGACAATGCCCCAAAGAAATCGTCAGTTTACAAATGGAGAGCTTCTTTTAAGACGGGAAGAGATGATACTGAA